CCCTTGCTCCCGATCCTGCTGAGATCGCCGTTGGGCAGTTGGCCGAGATCTTCTGTCAAAGAACAAGCCTGTAGGACCTTTTGGTACCAACGTTCGTCGACGTGAGAGAAGGCGATGATGCTATCTCGCACAGTGCCGTTCATGTGCCAGGGAGTTTGGTCGCAGTAGGCGATCTCCGAATTCATCACTTGAATAGATCCGGCCATGACTACCACTTCTCCGAGGAATGCTCTGAGAAGAGTTGACTTGCCACTGCCCACTGGCCCCACGACAAGGGTAAGGTTGCCCAGTGGAACCTGAGCGGTGATATCACTGAGGATGGGTTTCTGAGTAGGATCATATCCAAAGGCACCTGTCTTGACGACGATACAGTTGCAGTCCAGAGGATCGATCAGCAATGGGCCTCTCTGGGTAGTGTTAGGCTCTTTCTCGGACAATACCGAGTGTTTCTCCTGCTCGCTGCGTAGAGAAACTGAGGTCGATGACCCTTCGCTCGTGTTATCATGAGAGATGATTCTGCTATCGACGCGAATGTCTGTGTTGAGGAAAGCCTGTATACGCGCAAAGCTCCCGACGGACCCCATCAAAGAGGACAACGACGTAACAAACGAGGAGATAGGCTCGTTTAACAATGCGAACAGTGATAGAGATGTAAACATGCGGTTTATGTCCAGGTTGTTGTCTCCTCCCCGGGACTGGGCGACAAGACTGTATGTTGCAAAGGTCAGGATTGGGGCGAAGATAGGAGCGAGGTATGCTATAGATGTCTTGTAAGCAAACGTCCCATCGAAGCGGTTCGGACCATGCAAGGTAGGTACTCACCCAAGACCATATTCCAGATCAACAACCTGCGGAATTTGCCGGAAATGCGCAACTCGTCGTTTCGCAGGGCGTGGATACGAGTGCTGAGCACGTCGGTCAGTCCACACATCTTGACGCCCTTCATGCTGCCTAGCATCTGCGAGGTAACGGATATCCTCTTTTCGATGGCCTCTAGCCATGCGGCTTGACGAGCCATGACAAAACTGACGGCGATAACAGACCCGATGATCGAGACTAAACACATCCGGGGTCGGGTCAGTACTGTAACATGTCGTGCTCGAAAATGAACAGAGGATGAGTAGACTCACAAATCGCTGCTCCGACAGGAATAAGACACGCAATACCAAGCTGGCGTCCTAACAAGTAGACTGCGATAACAATCTCAACCAAGTTGGCCCAAACGTCATGGGCAGTGCGCCAACCCGTGTCGATCCTCTCAATGTCGGCACTCATCAGAGTCAGTGCTGCGCTAGGGTCAGCCGCCGCAATACTGATATCTGTGGCCTTGTCGAACAAGATCGATACGAGCTGACCGCGTGCCATGGTGATGGCGCGATACGTCAGGTGTTGATACTGGCCGCTCGTCACCTGTAGCATGGAACGTTAGTAGGACGCGCCTGTAGCAACAGAGATTCACGTACTGCTAGACCCATGAACACAAGAAACCATGCGCCTATGAGGCCATATCCTTGGTTCATGTCGTCAGAGTCGCTGTCGTTCTCTGCCCATGCAAGGGTAGCAGAGATGAGGAATGGTTGGCAAAAGGTGAAACCGATGAAGCACAAACGTGGAAAGATTATGGACAGGGTAGGCCACTTCAGGGTCCTGAGGACCGTAAGCATCAGAGCATGGTTGCCTTTCCGAGATGCTATACCAATGTCAGCATCCAGTCAATTGAGGTCTATGGAGCTGGCAGGATGACAGACCTTTAGCCCACGCTGTCTGCAAAAGCTTCTGAAGATACGAAGACTTGAAATGTTTCTCCAGGGGAAACAGCGCCTCGATCTCTAGGTGCTTAGAATAGCCAGAGCGAAACATCGGTATTTGCCAAGAGAAGAACCAGTGCGACAAGACACTACCAGTGACTTCGGGGGGCAAAACACGGTACTGGGGCCGCAAGAAACGACGCTTCTCGATTGCCTCGACAGCGAGCATGAGAATCTTGATCACAGTCGCTATGAGCGCGGTGATTGCGGCGGGCCGGTTGTAGCCTTGGAGCCATAGTGTCCGTGTTTGCGCAGCGTCGAAAAGAGCAGAGAAGAGCAGGAAGAGTATGAGCACTGTCGACGGTCGGTACGAATAGACGTGCTCGACGTAGGATAGACACAAGATGCCAATTGATGCGACGAAGGATAAGGCAGCCGTTGCAAGAGAAGCTCTAGTGGTGACTGCTGAAGAGCGAGTCCACGAGATGAGGAAGCTGATCTGCGCTGCTAGGAGACCGAGACATAATGTCGTGAGGCTGTTAGTACCCGAGACACGACGCGAGCACATCAATTAACTCACAATTTTACAGTACAGCCAGCGGCTATTTTCTACCTTGACCTTATTCTTGTGCAAGAGGTACAGGACTCGACATGGGGCAGCGAGAAGCACCAGAGCGGTGATGGGTATGGTGAGGATTGACTCTTCAAAAAGCAGTGTAAAGTCGAAGCCGCCTCTACAACCACCAGCATATGGACCAAAAGAGTCGTCGCACGACAGCGAGACCATGATTGTGCCTAATGTGAGACCAAAGGTTTACAATCTGTAATCACAATCAAATGTTTGGGAAAAATCGATTAAGGTTGTTTGATCAACAGGGCATCAATCAATCGATCAATCGCTAAGCGAGCCGGGAAATCTTTCCTGCTACGTAGTACAATAGAGCCCCTTTGCAAGCTTAGCCGAGAAAATGCTCCACAGACAAAAAAGCCAGGATAAATGAAAAAAATGCGGAAAAACAAAATGTCATCATAGAGAAGCGAGCCACGTCAGACATGGTGCAAGGGTACGTACAGGGTAGGCAAGGGACACGGCACGGCTCGCAACGGCGTAGCGCACATGGCGGATACGACACGAAGCCGGTGAAAACGATCCGGCGGCCCGGTCGTAAGGGAAGCACTGTACGTACTCTACATCTGGGCTCCGAGACGCCATGATCTGATCAATCCGGGGACTTTGGAGGATCAGGAACGGGACTGAAATGTTAAAGATCGGCGATTTTTAGGACAATCTGCCGGGGTAATTTTCAGCTGGCTCCGTAGCGGCGATCATAATCATTACCGGTATAGCTAGTGTGAATTAGGCCTACATCGAAGCCACCTCACCGGCGGGGACTAATGCAAGCACGGCAGCGGCTATTAGTGCCTTACCCTAGGACAATTGCTTGATTGGCTTCTGAGACAAGCATCAATCAATCCTGTTCTGGGGCGAAGTACCGATCTTACGCTATCTGGAAGTTATCTTGCTTACCTGCCCTTTCAAGACCGAGAAAGATCATCACTTACTTCTCTCAGCCTCTTGTTCAGCAATTCTTTGCTTTTTCTGTACCCACTGGTCAGGCCTGCTCAGATCATGGAATTAGATAACTAGTTCCACTTCACCGCTCGTATTTTAGTTTGTGTGGTCTTTTATCCCTGTGGTGTTGCATCAGAATCCATTCCGGCACGTTACATGCATATGCCGCCTCGTGAGTCATGTCCGCGACTACGAGGATGAATGCCAAAGTGCTCTTTGCAGGCGCTTAGATTGAAAAAGAGCTCTTGTTAACTTTCCAAAGAGAAGACATATACATTTATCAGGACTAAACATTCCTCTTTTTGAATTATTTATATCCAGTCTCTATAATTTGCAGATTGGGACAAGACTCACCAGCTCAACAAGACTGTAAATTTGCATATAGTACGACATTTGACATAAAACACGCATCATGATTAAAAAAAGCTTTTCTTTGTGTTGGCACTACAGCCGCCACATGACCCCGCTCCCTGCAAGCCAGACCTCCCTCCCATTAAACCATGTCTCCGGGATGCAAGAAAACGTCTGATATTAGATCAAGGTCCTAGCAAAACTTAGTCTAAGATCGAGTAGTCGATCTTTACCAAATTACACTAAGTTTACCTAAACCCTTTTGCTACTTAGGACAGAGATCCTAATATCTTACCACGCCCCCTTGCGTGCTGACATAGATTCATGCTAGTCATATCATCATCCGGAATGCCTTCTCCTGAGGCCTGCCAAGCTTCTCACCCCAGCAGCGGAACCGAACTAATGTAGTCCTTGCAGAAGCTCCAACGGTCCACCGCCAAGAAGGGAGTGAATAAGCGTGATTCGCAGCTGCGTCTGTCCACCAAACGAGCAAAACGGCTGCATGGTCGGCTCGTGACTAGCTGCAGTTTCCCAGCGCCAAGCCGGCTTATGGAGTATCTCGATGCATAGTCCAGTTAACTGGTCTTTGTCTGCCATATTTGTCACTCCACCACTTGTTGAGTGTGAATCGCGCCATCAAGTGACAAGGATAGATTTGCCATCGCGGATCCATTCAGATTATCTCATTTCTTTCTGGCCAAGCTGCGCCGCCTACGTGCTCTCAACATTGGCTTGGCCAAGTTTGCTTCGTCAAGTTGCCTGAAGCACCCTAGACTTTCATCCGCCTCTTATGTCTCAGTCGAGAAGATACTTCTGGGCTCCATACCATTTCGGGCTACATCCGGGCTTTCCGGGTCCCAAAACCGGTTCGTATATGGTGGAACGAGAGAAACGAGGAAAGGGAGAATCAGAAAAGAGCGGAAATACTGGATTTTCCATGTTGTCATTGGTGTAACGGCGTTGTCAGTGGCCAATGGGCGGAGACAACTATCGTCTTGCGGTTCAGAAGCAAGAAAAAGGAGCCAGCATGGCGAAATAGGCTGCATGTCGCTGTAGAGCTGAAAAAATAGTCCTCTAATTCGGTATGGTTTGCTGTTTATATCCCTGAATGACACCTTGAATGCTGTTTCTTGGTAGTGATGTTGCTGATCCGTAACAAGGATATATCTGCTGTAACCTCCATCCACATAGATGCAGTCACCTTAGAGAAAATTATTGCTGTCGTGACGCACGAATTTCACACATTATTCGTTTGACGGTCTACATCTTTCTGTCATACAAGTCCTCACCAGCAAATACTCACCGAATCATTTTACATAACCTAAACAATGGCACCCAATGTCTCTTGCGGCTGTGTCAGAACCGCCGATCAGTCAATGCCGGATCTGAAGTCTGCCATGTTCCCGCAGTTCGATGTGTCTGAGACAGGTTCTGAGCACCTGGAATTTGCCAGCCGGATCTACCACGTTGCACCTGATGATCTGAGAGACACGTGCTCTGCTCTCTGTGCAGCATGGGCGATCCTTCTTGGCTGCTTCACCGGGCTGGATGATGTGTGTTTCGGCTTTGACAGTCAGCACAGCGTTACCGAAACGTCGGGACTTGCAGAGCGCATGAGACAAGCTGTGCATGCTCGCTTGCCTGCCAATCAGCGCGTTGGAGAAATTCTCAACGGCAGCTTTTCGTCGCTGGTGTTGATGAGCGACGAAAAGGCCAAAACGCTATTCAACACGATTTTGTCAATTCAGAACCACGGAAATGAGCCTAGAAACAGTAGCGGACAACATCCTTTGTGGTGCAAAATTCGCATGACGGTAGATCCCGTGACGCTTGAAAATGTCTTGACATGGGACCCTTCCTTCATGGGCCAAGATCAAGCAGAGAACATCAGCAGCACCTTCGACAAGATTTTCAGGGAAATCATCAACCACCCGGAGACTCTCCTATCACAAGTCAGCTTCTTCAGTGAGCGAAATGAGCGACAAGTTTTGGCCTGGAACAGCAACCCTATGAGAAATGTGCGCAAGTGCATCCATCAGGCCGTGTCAATGCAGGGAGCGTTGAGACCTGATGAAGAAGCTGTTTGCGCTTGGGATGGGAGCTTTTCCTACCAACAGGTCCTTTCACTAGCAGATCGTCTCGCCTGTCGTCTGCAAGCCTCTGGAGTTGGGCCTGAAGTCTTTGTGCCCATCTGCTTTGACAAGTCCAAATGGGTCGTTGTTTCGATGCTGGCGATCCTCAAAGCAGGCGGCATCTTTGTCCCTCTCGACCCTTCTCAACCACTGCTTCGTCTACAATCTCTCGCGCAAAAGGTGGAAGCCAAGACGATCTTGTGCTCTCCTCAGCATCAGCGCATGCTGGAGAGCGTAGCGCCAGAGTTGATTCCTGTCGATGAGCAGCTGTTCACCGAGCTACCCAACCAAAGCGATGAGGTTGACTGTGGATCGTGGCATAACGGAGCCTACATGATATTTACAAGTGGCACAACGGGTGAGCCCAAAGGAGCCCTGATCCAACATGGAGCTCTCATGTCGAGCGCACTTGCTCACGGGCCTGCTATGATGATGGACTCCAATACACGATCGTTCCAATTCGCTGCGTCTACCTTTGACGTGAGCATCACTGAGATCTTGACCTGTATGATCTTGGGTGGATGTGTCTGCATACCCAGCGAACACGCTCGCCTCAATGCAGTTGAAGAGGCCATCACCGAGCTCCGAGCAAACTGGGCGCTTTTGACCCCGACGTTCGTCAAGTTCATCAACCCCGCCAATGTCCCAACCTTGAAGACACTCGTTACTGGTGGAGAGGCCATGACACAGGCTGTCATCCGTTCATGGTCGCACATCAACCTCATCAACTGCTACGGCCCTGCTGAGACGTCTGTTGTTTCACACGTGCACCGAGGCATGGTGCAAGGGACCAATCCGTTGAACATTGGGCACCAGGTCGGCATAAACTGCTGGATCGTCGATCGGGACAATCACGACCGTCTCATGCCCGTTGGTGCAGTGGGCGAGTTGGTCATCGAGGGCCATACGCTCGCACGCGAGTACTACAAGGAGCCCGAGAAAACCCGCGAAGCATTTATCGAAGATCCATCGTGGGCAAGGAACCAACCGTCACGAATTGGCCCTAGAAGGATGTACAAGACGGGCGATCTCGTCAAATACAACCACGACGGGACGTTTCATATTGCCGGTCGGAAAGATGCGCAGATCAAGTTTCACGGGCAGCGCATCGAACTCGGGGAGATAGAGCATCACATCAATGCCAGTGCCAGCATCAAGCACGGCATGGTAGTCCTACCAAGGGAGGGCTTTTGCAATGGTCGACTCTTGGCCATGGTGCAGCTCTGCGACGCCCTGAGTGAGGACCTCGTGCCCAATGGTCAACCCTATAAGCTCATCGGGGGCGATCTTGAGAGCACTGCGCAGGAAAAGATTGCAGAGACCAAGGAGCTGCTTGGCAAGAGGCTGCCCTCATACATGATACCATCCATGTGGCTTGCCGTCGAGTTTATCCCTCGTCTCCAGTCTGGAAAACTGGATCGCAAGCAGACAGCGAAATGGATCGATGGCATGAGCGAGGCATTGTATCGTCAACTCAATCCTGTGGCAGCAGTCACGCAACGATCGGGAGATCTTGAGTGCGGAAGCACGACTGAGCTGGAGCTACACAAGATATGGACCTACGTCTTGAACCTCAAGGAAGAACAGCTTGGCCTCGCACAATCCTTCCTCAGCGTCGGCGGTGACTCCATCTCGGCGATGCAAGTCATGAGTGAGTGCAAGAAACGCGGTCTCGGACTGGCAGTCTCTCACATCATCAACTGCAAGTCCATCAGCGCGCTGGCTCTGCAGGTTAAGGACATTGAGAAGCCCGCGCTGCTGCACGAGATGGTTGAAACACCGTTTGACCTGTCCCCCATCCAGAAGCTCTACTTCGCGAGGCCAAACTACGAGCAGGGCCATTACAACCAGAGCTTTTTGCTGCGGACGAGCCAGCGTATTCATGAGGCACATCTACGCAGGGCAATGGAGACTCTTATCTCCAGGCACTCGATGCTCCGTGCGAGGTTCCAGCAGGATGTTGGTGGGGAGTGGCAGCAACGCATCACCAACGACGTTGCGTCCTCGTATCGACTGCGTGACTTGAAACTGGTTTCGCAAGAGGACGTCGATGACTCGCTTGTTGACAGTCAGACCTGCCTGGATCCTGTACGAGGTCCACTTGTCGCTGCTGACCTGATCGACCGAGGGACAGAAGAGCAGCTTTTGTTCGTCGTGGCGCATCACCTGGTCATCGACCTTGTATCCTGGAGAATCATCCTTCAAGAACTCGAGGAGATCTTACTGCGGCCCGAAGCTGTGCATGATGCAGATCGTCCGCTTCCATTTCAGGTCTGGTGTAAGATGCAGTCCGAACACGCTCAGACCCAAAAGCCAGACCAAGTCCTGCCAATCCACGGCATTCCCGACGGCGATGCTGCGTACTGGGCCATGACAGATACTCCCAATATCTATGGGCAGATGGTCCGTCAAGGCTTTGAGATTGGGCCGCACCAGACATCGTTACTTTTATCCAAGTGCCACGACGCACTGCGCACAGAGATCCCGGATGTGCTTATGGCAGCGATGGTGTATTCCTTTGGCCAGATCTTCACCGACCGTCCAATCCCAGCCATCTTTGCAGAAGGTCACGGCAGAGAAGTCTGGGACAACTCAATCGACCTGTCAAACGTTGTCGGATGGTTCACTACCATTTACCCTGTCTTTGCTGGATCAGATACTCAATCCAGTCTCATCGACACAGTCAAGATGATCAAGGACTCAAGGCGCAAAGTTCTCGACAACGGTCGGCCTTACTTCGCGAGTCGCTGGCTGACGAAGGAGGGTCAAGAAGCCTTTTCTCGTCACTGGCCTTTGGAGATTACCTTTAATTACCTGGGCCAGTACCAACAGCTGGAGCGTGAGGGCGCTCTCTTCACTCCCGAAAGCAACATCGCTGGCGAGATTAGAGAAGCAAGTCAAGGTGCAGATATCGGGCCTCTGACTGCTTGCATCTCTCTCTTCGAGGTGTCCGCCGTCATAGTCAAGGGATCTCTTCGTTTCTCATTTGGGTTCAACCAGAACATGAAACACCAACCGCAGATCCACCAGTGGATCTCCAGCTGCGAGCAGAGTCTCGGCGAAGTCATTACATCTTTGGCCTCAATGGTACCTGAACCTACTCTAAGCGACTTCCCGCTCTTATCCCTGACGTATGACCGTCTGAGGGTATTCACAAAGGAGAAGCTCCCCGAGGCTGGGATCACAGACGTGGGCCTTATTCAAGACGCTTACCCTTGCTCTCCCATGCAGTCTGGGCTTTTGGTCAGCACCACCAGGGAGAACGCTGCTTACGCTGCCTACACGCTCCACGAGATCAAGAACAGGAGTGGCGATAGGGTGGATGTTGTCAAGCTCATCACTGCTTGGAAGCGCATGGTGCAGTACCATCCTATTCTCAGGACTATCTTCTTGGAGAGCGTGACGTTGGAGGACTCTATCTACGATCAGGTGGTGCTCAAGGAAGTTCAAGTTCCATTCACTGTTTCTGAGAGCGGCACAGATGAGGATGCGATTGCAGCACTGAAGGTACCTACGAACCATGGCGACAATGCATCCCGGCTGTTACACCATTTCCACGTCTGTACAGCAAAGAGCGGCAAGGTGTTTTGCAGATTGGATATAAGCCATGTCATCATGGATGGCACTTCGCTATCAATCCTCTTCCGCGATCTTGCATTGGCATATCAAGGGCTCCTCACGGCTGAAACAGGCCCGCTGTATCGCGATTACATCAAAGCTCTTCAGAACCAGCCGATCAAACCCGGTATCGACTACTGGAAGTCTTACCTGGCGGGTGTTGAGCCATGCCTCTTCCCAGTTCTGGACGACGGGGAGATTGCGGAGGTCAAGGAGCTGCGACACTTACGGGTCAGATTTGATGAGCTTGCTGCGCTGCAGAATCTTTGTGAGAAACAGGGAGTCACTATTGTCAATGCCATCTATGCTGCCTGGGCTGTCACGTTGCGTTTATATACTGGCTCTGATGAGGTTTGCTTCGGCTATCTGACATCAGCTCGTGATCTACCAATCGAAGGCATCCGTGATGCCGTCGGTCCCATCATCAACATGGTCACATGCCGTGTCAACGCTGATAGCACGACAAGCTTGGCGGACATGATGGGCTCGGTGCAGAGGGACTATCTCGATAGTCTGGAGTATCGCCACACGCCGCTGGCCCAGGTTCATCACGCCCTTCAGCTCTCCGACGCTGTTCTGTTCAACACAGCCTTGTCGTACAGAAAGCTGCCGCCAATCACGCAGACGGACCTCGTGTTTGAGGAATGCTGCCCTACCTACGATCCTGATGAGTACAACGTGTCGGTCAACATTGAGGCAGGCGAGCATGACATGGCGATTGACTTGATGTACTGGTCTGATACTCTGTCGTACGGACAGGCTTCCAATGTCGCTAGCACTTTTACAAAGTCGCTGAGCAATATTCTACATGATTGCGACCAGCCCATTGCTCAGCTCAACCACTTAGGTTCCTCGCATAGCAGCCAGATTTCTCAATGGAATCAGCGGATTCCTGACGCCATTGAGAGCTGCGTGCATGACTTGTTCAAGCAGCAGGTTGCCTCACGTCCCGACAGTCCCGCGATTGTTTCATGGGACATGGACTTCACCTACGCTGAGCTTGATAGCGCTTCCGACAGACTCGCCCATCATGTTGCCTCATTGGGCGTCGGTCTAGAAACGTTTGTGGTTGTCTGCTTCGAGAAGTCGGCTTTCGCTATAGTTTCGATGCTGGCTATTCTCAAAGCTGGCGGTGTATGCGTGCCTCTGGACCCAGCGCACCCGGAAGCTGCGCATCGACTTCGTGTCGAGGATACAGGGTCTACTATCGCCGTTGTATCTCCCTCGTTAGTGTCCAAGCTCAGCTCCCTCGTCACGACCGTCGTCGCTGTGGACGCAGATCTACTTCAGACCATCTCCACGGCGCCTGAGCCACCTCTTCCTCCAATCACGCCCGACAACGCCTGCTTCGTCATCTACACGTCCGGCAGCACAGGACGTCCCAAGGGTGTGGTGCTAGAGCACAGAGGCATCGCCAGCAACGCCATGTACTCAGGCCCCAGGCTAGGTTACGGCTCAGACTCGAGGGTGCTGCAGTTCGCTTCGTACACCTTTGACAACAGTCTCGCAGAGATATTCAGCACTATCAGTCTGGGAGGCTGCGTATGCGTACCCTCGGACCACGAGAGGCTGAACGATTTGGCCGGAGCCATCAATCGGCACAGCGTCACGTTAGCTGACATAACACCCACTGTGGCTTGCTTCCTCGAGCCATCGGAGGTTCCGACTTTGAAGACTCTGGCTCTTGGAGGTGAAGCGGTGACTACCAAGTGCGTTGGCATCTGGCGGGACTTTGTGTCTCTGCGATGCTGCTACGGGCCGTCGGAATGCTCCGTCAATTCGACCTACTCTGGAGATATCGCCCAGCCTGGGAAGGCCAACAATATTGGCCGTGCCATTGGTAGTGTCGCTTGGGTAGTCGATGCGACGGATCACAATCTTCTCGTCCCAATTGGCTGCGTTGGTGAACTCCTCATTGATGGTCCTATCGTGTCTAGAGGCTACCTGAACCTCCCAGACAAGATGGCCCAGTCCTTTGTTCCTCCACCCGCTTGTATCGAGGGAATCACTGAGAATGGCGGACGGGATCGCAAGCTCTACAAGACCGGCGACCTTGTGCGCTACAACTCTGACGGTACCCTTACCTACCTTGGACGGAAGGATACCCAGGTCAAGCTCAACGGCCAGCGCATCGAACTTGGAGAGATTGAGCACCACATCGAGGCAAATCTCCCCAAGGGCTGGGAATCTGCCGTGGAGCTTGTCACATCACAGGGCAGGAAGTTGCTCGCCTGCTTCATTTGTGCCGATGCCGATATTTCCCTCAGAGAAACCAGCGATGATAGCATGGTGCTGGACATGGATGACTCTTTCAGGTCTCACGCCAAGAAGCTCGAGATTGTGCTTTTCAATGCAGTTCCTGCCTACATGGTCCCATCCGCGTGGCTCCCCGTCTCCAAGATGCCTCTTACTTCGTCAGGCAAGCTCAATCGACGCAGCCTCAGGATTCTGGGAGAGTCGGTGCCAGCAGCCAGGATGAAGACTTACAAGCTTGCCCTCAAGAGCGGTAGGGCACCGTTCAGTGAGGTGGAGAAGCAGCTGGCAGCTATGTGGGCTCAGTTGCTGGACATCGACGTGGCGTCTATTGGAGTCCAAGATCATTTCTTCAAGCTTGGAGGAGACTCGATTGGGGCCATGCAACTTGTGACGCTTGCTCGATGCTCCAACATTGACTTGACCGTGGCTGGGGTGTTCCAGAAGCCATCTCTGCTGGACATGGCGGAGTCGGCTGTGCCGCTATCGAAGGCCCCAATCACGACATACCGACCGTTCTCGTTGCTATCTGATGAATGCTCGGTTGATGCGTTGCGACAAATAGTTGCAGACTCTGCTCGTATCGACGTTGGTCATGTTCAAGACGTATATCCTTGTTCCGCACTGCAAGAGGGACTCATGGCTCTCTCGACCAAGGAACCTGGGGCTTACGTGGCGCAACTCGTCTATCGACTGCCAGCTGACGTCGACAACGCCAGGTTCCAGAAGGCTTGGAGTATTGTGGTGGAAGCTGAGCCAACGCTGCGCACGAGGATCGTTCATACAGAAGATGCTGGGTTCGTGCAGGTCGTTGTCGCTGGGGAAGCACCTCAATGGTCTAACTTTACCAGCCTCTCTGATGCCGACGCAATTCGACGCCAAGTTCCGCTGCATAATGGTGCAAGATTGACCAGCTACGGTCTCGTTGACGATGACTCTGCAGGCAAATGCTTTGTCTGGTCTATCCATCATTCCATCTACGATGGTTGGTGTCTTCCTCTCATCCTCGACAAGGTCAAGCGATGCTACCACGACGATTTGAGTTCCATGCAACTCAAGGGCCCTGACTACTCCAACTTCATCAAGCACCTCACAGACCGGGACCCGAAGCAAGACACCGACTTCTGGATGTCGCATCTTTCGAACATGTCCACCCAACACTTTCCACGTCTTCCCAACGCCGAGTACCAGCCTTCCGCAACGAGCCTGATGGTTCATAAAGCAACACTAGGAACCACATCGGGATCGGAGATCACCGCCGCTACCAGAATACGCACAGCCTGGGCGATGGCGATCTCTACCTACTCTGGAACCAACGACGTCGTATTCTGGGAGACTATGACAGGACGCGATGTTCCGGTCGCCGGGATCGAGGAAATGGCGGGCATCACGTTGGCTACTGTGCCAACACGTGTGGTCATTGAGCCTTCGCAAACTGTCGCTGCATTACTTGCCTCTGTGCAGGATCGGTCAGCCGCCGTGAGAAACCACCAGTTTGCTGGCATTCAGTGCATCAAGAACATCAGCGCTGATACGGCCCTTGCTTGCGGCGCTCAGAACCTCCTGGCCATCAACTACGGACCTCGGGAGTCGACGGATACCTTTTGGTGCGAGCAGTCAAACGAGATGGCTGGTACGAACTTTTATTCCTCATACCCGCTCATGCTCTCGTGCCACTTTGCAGATGGCGAGCTCGAGACTGTCTTGCACTTTGATCCCAACGTTGTACCTGAGCCTCAGATGCAGCGTATCATGGATCAATTTGCGCTGATGCTTGAGTCCGTGTCGTCGTCTGACCTGTTGGATGAGCAGCTTCGCGATGTACCTTTGTTGAGCTGCAATGACCTACAGATGCTGCGTGATATGAACCATACTCCCCTACCCGCCTTAGGGCGACTCATTCACGACGCTGTTGGGGCTCAGACACTGACTCAACCACGAGATAAGCTTGCTGTCGTGTCGTGGGACCAGAGCCTCACGTACGCTGATCTGGACTCTCAATCTACACGTCTTGCTGGTGTCTTGATGGCAAATGGCGTGTCAGTCCACTCAATCGTTCCTTTCTGCATGGAAAAGTCATCTCTTGTCGTTGTATCCATCCTGGCTATTCTCAAGTCGGGTGCTGCCTTTGTGCCGCTCGACCCAGCACACCCTGATGCTCGGATTCAAGGAATTCTCACCGACACTGGGGCTACTGTCGTCCTCGCGTCTGATCAACACTCTGGGCGATTGACGAAGCTCGGATCACGGGTCTTCACCGTCTCGCAGGCTCTAGTAACGCAAGCTCAAGACGCCCCAACCAACCCAGCGCCTCTGTCACTATCCGCCACCAGTCCAGCTTACATCATTTTCACCTCTGGCACGACTGGGAAGCCTAAGGGAACCATCGTGGACCACTCCGCATTTTCCACCGGTGCCTATGCCCACGGTCGTGCCATGGGCATGACAGAGTCGTCGCGTGTCCTGCAGTTTGCGTCGTATACATTCGACGCCAGTATCATGGAGATCCTCACCACGCTTATCCACGGCGGGACAGTCTGCGTTCCAAGTACCGACGAGCGTCTCCACGATCTTGCAGGTGCTATCAACAGAATGAACGTCAACTGGGCTCTATTGACGCCTTCGGTGGCCCAGCTGCTCCAGCCATCGCTCGTCCCTGGTCTCGAGACACTTGTTCTCGGAGGTGAAGCTATGTCTTCTGCTCACATCTCTTCGTGGGCCCCGTCAGTTCGTCTCATGAATGCATACGGACCCAGTGAGACTGCCGTGGTGGCTGCTGTCAACCCGAGTGTTACACTGGATTCTTCTCCCTCGAATATCGGTCACGCTGTGGGTGGTATCTGCTGGGTCACTGATGCCGCCAATCACGACAGACTCATGCCCATCGGCGCTGTCGGCGAGCTCGTGATAGAAGGCCCGATCCTCGCTCAAGGGTATTTGAATGACACTGCTAGAACGGCAAAGTCCTTCATCGCCGACCCGAAGTGGTGCAGACAGTTCCCAACGGCTGCTGCCGACAGGGAACGCAGGTTCTACAAGACAGGAGACTTGGTCAAGCTTACTGAGGACGGGATCGAGTTCCATGGGCGCAAGGATGATCAAGTCAAAGTCAACGGTCAGAGAATCGAGCTGTCGGAGATTGAGCATCATTTGGGCGCGGACCCTGCCGTCGAATCTTGTCTTGCGGCTGTTCCAGCTTCCGGCCCGTTCAAAGCCCGCCTTGTAGGCATTCTATCCTTGCACTCTGCTGCTTCGACCAAGACAGAAATGACCGGGGACCAAGACATGCAGATCCTGACCAAGTATGATCCATCTGCTTTGGTGGGCATTCGAGAAGGTCTCGCAAGGCATTTGACATCCTACATGATCCCATCTTTGTGGATTATCGCAAGCCATGTTCCCCTCCTCCCCTCTGGAAAGCTTGATCGTAGGCGCACCATGCGATGGGTTGAGGACATGACTCTTGAAGACTACCATCTCGTTCTTGACGCGCAGGAAGATGCGTCTGCTCTGGATAGAGATGCTTCGGAAGTGGAGATCAAGCTTAGGGCTGCGTGGGCCAAGGCTCTCAATCTCAAGGTCGACATGGTCCCGTTCAAGCAGTCGTTTATCCACCTCGGCGGCGATTCGATATCCGCCATGAAGCTGATGGCCATTTGCCGATCCTCCAACATGGCTGTGTCGGTCAGCCAGATCATGCGAGCCAAGTCCATCATCGACCTTGCCTCTGCCGTCACCAACGTCAAGGAAGTATTGTGTGATGAAGAACAGCTGGACAAGTCTTTTGAACTATCACCCATTCAGAAGGTTTACTTTGAGAGTATTGGTCTAGGCTCTCACCACTTCAACCAGAGCATGACTTTAGCTACCACTCGCAGCATCACCTCACAGGAGCTCTCGAATGCGCTGCATCGTATCGTCGAGATGCATAGCATGATGCGTGCTCGTTTCTCGCAGGTCGATGGCACATGGACCCAGCGGATCACTAGCGATGTCGCTGGCTCATATACTCTCCGTTCACACGGCATCGTCGACGAGAAGCGTCTCTTGGATTTGGTCATGAAGAGTCAGACTACCCTAGACATTCTTGATGGACCGATATTCGCTGCCGACATGTTTCAAGTGGAGGGAACTGGCAACCAGATCGTCACATTCGTGGCCCATCACCTCATTGTCGACGTCGTGTCTTGGAACATCATATTACAGGACCTGGAAGGCCTCTTGTCAGCATCTGCCTACAGCCCGTCGAAATCACTATGCTTCCAGACGTGGAGCTCCGCACAACACGACGAAGCTCGGGAGGCTTCGCTCGAGCGTGTGTTCCATGACATTCCAGTCCCTCTACAGGACCACAAATATTGGGGAATGGAAGGCGTATCGAATCTTCATAGCGACTCGGTGACTGAGACCATGAACATCCCGACTGATACATCAAACCTGCTCTTAGGCAGCAGTCATGATGTTGTCGATGTCTTGCTAGCATCACTGTTAGCATCCTTCCGCCAAGCCTTTCCAGATCGGCCTTCGGTGCCCCCCATATTCAACGAGGGTCATGGGAGAGAGCCTACCGATGACACCGTGGATCTATCACGCACCGTTGGATGGTTCACCACTCTCTGTCCTGTTTTCCTCCCCAAGGTTATGCCCGCCGAACACGATATCCTCGATGTAGTGTGCTGGATACGGGACTTCCGGAGGAAACTTCCCGCCAACGGTCGGTCGTACTTTGCTCATAGCATGTTACCTAACTCGAAGTCCCAGATCGAGTTCCCAGTGGAAATTGCCTTCAATTTCCTTGGTCATACACTGGACATTGGAACGGGAGACTCCGTGTTCAAGTCTTTCGATGGAAACATGTTGAGCTCTTTGAGCTCGCAATCCGACATTGGAGGCAACATTCCACGACTAGCCCTCATCGAGATTTCAGCATCTTTCACTAACGACGGCTTAACCTTTGACTTTTCTTTCAACCGCCACATGGAACGTCAGTCATCTGTCAGCAGATGGATCCAGAGCTGTAGGGACTACATACGCCAAGCATCCCAAAGGCTATCACAGTTTACGCGAGAGCCATTGACGGATCTATCTCTGCTGCCTCTGGCCTTCAGGAAGGAGTCACAGGTTGAAGAGAACCTCGCTGTGGCGGGAATTTCTCTTGATAATGTTGAAGCAGTGTATCCATGCTCTTCAGTCCAGCAGGGCATACTATTGTCCCAGATCAAGGACCCCGGATACTACTCTTACTCGATCACCTTTTCGGTTACATCCACACGTCCAGGCGACGTGATCGACGTTCAAAGACTATCGGACGCTTGGAAGCGTGTGGTTCATCGCCATTCTGCACTTCGTACTGTCTTCATGGACAGTGTACTACAAGAGGGCGCTATCAGTCAAGTCGTTCTCAGGAACCATGATGCCAACATGTCCATCGTCGAATGTCCCACCACAGAGGTAGACCTCAGACTCAGTAACCAGCAGCCTCTTGGTCTTCCTACGAACCAACCACCTCACTGTCTCACAATCTATGCCACCGAAGAGGGCACTGTGTCAAGTGTTCTAGAGATGAGCCATGCTATCTCCGACGGAACTTCCATGCCACTTCTTTTCCGCGACCTTGGTTTAGCGTACGAGGGCAGCCTGAATACTGTCCAACTTACTGTTTACAGAGACTACGTCTCCTTCTTACAGCGGAGCGGAGGCTCTCAGGATGCCAAGTACTGGAAGGATTACTTGGACGGCGCTGAGCCTTGTTGTCTGCCTCTGCTTACGGACGGAACTACATCACCCAGGACTCTTGGAACCCTTGCCCAAGGTATCTCGCACCCTGCTGAGCTTCAAACGCTCTGCAACGAACGAGGCATCACTCTATCCAACCTGCTACAGCTGGCTTGGGCATTGGTTCTCCAGGTATACACAGGCCTTGACGATGTGTGCTTCGGCTATCTCGTCGCTGACAGGGACGTACCCGTCAGTGGTATTGACGAGGCAATTGGCGTATTCATCAGTATGCTCGTCTGCCGAGTCCGCCTCGACCCATCCACCAACCTCGACAATGCTATGCGAACCATCCAGGACGACCTAGCCACGGCCATGAATCACAAGAATGCCTCCCTTGCCAGCTTCCAGCACGCCATGGGTAACTCCAACGAGCCTCTCTTCAACACCGCCTATTCCTTCCAACGTAGATCAGTCTCCAAGGACATGGCAACCGGTGCGATTGCGTTCGACGTCAGAGATGCGCAGGACCCTAGCGAATACGACATGACCGTCAACGTCGAAGTCTGGGACTCGAGTGTCGAGCTCCAGTTATGTTACTGGCAAGACAAAGTCGCAGACGCGCAGGCCGCCAACATTGCCTCTACATTTGACCGGGTCCTTTCCTCAATGACGAGATGTGACACGGCACTCCCGATCGGAGAATTGGATATGCTCAGCGATCTTGGTAGACAGCAGTTGGTGTCGTGGAACAAGAATGAGCCCGAGGTCTTGAATGATTGTGTGCACCACGTCTTTGAGCATAACTGTCAACGACTGCCAGACCATACACCGGCCATCGACGCGTGGGATGCCGCCTTTACCTACTCTGAACTCGACGCAGCAGCTTCGCGATTCGCTCAGTACCTCGTCTTTCTCGGCATCGGGCCCGAAACGTACGTCCCGCTGTGTTTCCAAAAGTCAGCATGGACCGTTGTTGCCATGATGGCAGTCCTCAAGGCCGGTGGTGCCTTTGTTCCTCTGGATCCTACTCATCCACCCGACCGTATCAAGTTCCTGGTTAGTAACGTCGACGCCAAGCTCATCATTTGCTCCACGTCCTTGAAAGCCAAGTTCGACAGCCTGGATCTTCCCGCTATTCCCCTTGGTAGGGATACTATGTCTTTACTTCCTTCCGTTCTACCGCACTCGCCCAGTATCGCTGTTAAGCCTGACAACGCTGCGTACATCATCTTCACTTCGGGTACGACAGGTGTTCCCAAGGGTACAATTATCGAGCATGCATCATTCACCACGGGAGGCACCGCTCACGCCAATGTTATCATGATGACATCTTCCTCTCGCGTGCTACAATTCGCGTCGCACACATTCGATGCTAGCGTCATGGAGATCCTCTCCACCTTGTTGGTAGGCGGCTGCATCTGCATTCCCAACGACCAAGACCGCATGGACGATTTGTCGGGCGTCATCACCAAGTTCAGCGTGAACTGGACGCTACTCACACCATCAGTCGCGGGAGTCCTTAAGCCAGGTAGTATCCCTACCCTCAAGGTCCTTGTCACCGGCGGCGAGGCAATGTCAAGAGACCACATTAAGAAGTGGACTGGGCACGCCGCTCTGATCAACGCTTATGGCCCGAGTGAGACGAGCGTTATCGCTGCAACGAGCACAAAGGTTGATCATGATGGAAATATCCTCAACAGTGACCCAGGTACAATCGGTCACGCTGTTGGCAGTCGTTGCTGGGTTGTAGATGCGCGCAACCACAATCGCCTCATGCCAATTGGCGGCATCGGTGAACTACTCGTGGAAGGGCCCATTGTCGCCAGAGGTTATCTCAACAACGAGACAAAGACGAAAGAGGCATTCATCGAGCCTCCTTCGTGGCGTACACGCATGAACCTTGAGGGAGACGGCATCGGTCGGATGTACAAGACTGGTGATCTGGTTATGTACAACTCGGACGGGTCACTCAAGTACGTGTCGCGCAAGGACACACAGATCAAACTCAATGGGCAACGTATTGAGCTTGGCGAGATTGAGTACCATGTCCAGGCGCACTTACCGGACTGCATTCAAGCCGCTGTTGACATAGTTGTTCCGCAGAGCAAGACGTCAACTAAAGCGCTAGCCGTCTTCTTTACCAGCGACGATGATCTTGAGGATACTTTCACCCAAGACGTCGATCCACTTCTTACAAGCATGTCGAGTGCTTTGACTGACCTTGCCCAGTCCCTCAAGTCAGCTCTCAGGGACGCTCTGCCATCCTACATGGTGCCTACCATCTACATACCGCTGTCCAAGATGCCATTGACCTTGGCTGGCAAGCTTGATCGCCAGAGACTCAAAGCCATCGCCAAGTCCATAACACCTCAACTGATGGCCTCCTACAAGCTCTCTAGCTCGTCTCGAAGCGGAAACAACCCTACAACGGCGATGCAGCGCAAACTGCAGAAAGCCTGGGCTACAGTCTTGGACATTCCTCTCGCCCAGATCAGCAAAGACGACAGCTTCTTCAGACTCGGCGGTGATTCAGTCGATGCCATGAAGCTCGTTCCGGCGGCTAGGGCGGAAGGCCTTGCCATCAGCGTCATGGCCATCTTCAACAACCCTGTCCTGTCAGACATGGCAATGTCTTGCAAACACTCAGACGAAGCTCTTGTCTCCAGTGTTGACCCGTTCTCGCTTCTTTCGGACACTGAACATCCTTCGTCACTCCTGCGCGAGGTTGCAGGTCGGTGTGGCGTGCAAGAGAGTCAGATTCTGGACATCTACCCTTGCAGCTCCCTCCAAGACGGTCTTGTTGCCTCGACTTTGCAACAGCCAGGCGCATATGTCGCCACTTATGTTTTTGAGCTTCCTTTGGACATCTCCATTGACCGTTTCAAGCTCGCTTGGCAGCATACTGTTGATCGAGTCGAAATTTTGAGAACACGCATCGTCAACACGTCGCTCAAGTCATATCAAGCCGTTCTTGCTCCTCATGACATTGAGTGGGAGCATCATGATGACCTCGAGTCTGCTACTACCCGGGCTGGATCGATACCTGATCACAATGGAGGAGCTTTGGCCCGCTACAGTATGGTCAAGGCGACTGACGACGGGCCTTGCCACTTTGTGTGGGTTGTCCATCACGCGCTATATGACGCGTGGAGCATGCCGTCCCTCCTCAAACTAGTGTGGCAGTTCTACCACGGAGACACCACCCATGAGCCTGTGGGCGAATACGCCAACTTCATCAAGTACCTAGTCGATGTTGACGCCGAAGCCTCTGACGAGTTTTGGAGAGCTAGGTTCCAAGACGCTTCTCTCGTATCTCACTTCCCCAAAGTCTCTTCGGCGCCTGCTGCGCAATCGTATCATGAATCCTTGATACACACGGTGCAGTACAGCAGAGATGGCCTCGGCATGGATGTAACCATTCCAACAATCGCCCGGGCCGCATGGGCGCTTGTTCTGGGGTCTCAGACTGGATCTGACGATGTCGTCTTCGGCGAGACTTTGTCTGGACGTGACATTGCCCTCGATCATGTACAAGACATCCTTGGACCTACATTGACCACGGTCCCCTCAAGAGTTCACATCAGTCGTAACAGTACAATCGGTGACTTCTTGAAGGGTCTTCGCGAACGAGCCACAGAGGTCATCCCCCATCAGCATGCGGGCCTCCAGCGCATTAGTCGCCTAGACGATGCCATAGCGGTCGCCTGTGACTTCCAGAACTTGCTGGTAATACAGTCATCCGACCAGGAAACGGGCCTGAATGATCTGCTTAGCCCTACCCAAAACGACGTTGGCCAGAAAAGCTTCTTCACCTATCCACTTGTTGTGGAATGCTCCATTGAGAAGCATGAGCTCATCTTGACAATTCACCACGACAACAAAGTCATCTCTAGTTGGGAGGCACAGCACATTGCCCAACAGTTCGAAGTGCTCGTAGGTCAACTGATAGACCTATCGCTTCGAGAACCCACTCGCAAGGTATCGGATCTTCGGCTCTACAGCCAAGAGGACGTGGAGACAATCAGAGGATGGAACAGCCTTGTCCTACAACCTTCAAAGGAGAGTATTCCCGACCTGTTCTGGCAGTCAGTAGCAACCAATCCCAACAAGACCGCCGTTCGCGCCTGGGACGGTCAACTCAGCTACAAAGATCTCGCCCAGCACGCCTCTCATTTCGCCAGGACACTCATGCGACATGGTGTACGCGCTCATGAGCTAGTTCCATGCTGTATGGAAAAATCTCTCTGGGCGACAGTCTCGATGCTCGCTGTGATACTCGCCGGCGGCACCATCGTTCCCATGGACCCTGCGCATCCTTCTGCTCGTCACGCCGAGATCACACGCGACTGCAAGGCCCGTGTTGCATTGTGCGCACCGCAGTATCAAGAGCGCTTTCAAGGCATTGTCGAATCCGTTGTCTTGGTCACTTCTGACTCGATCACTGCCCCAGAACCTTGTACGCAGGATCTGCCAATCGTCGCGCCTCGAGATGCCGCATTTGTCATCTTTACCTCCGGCAGTACCGGAAAGCCTAAAGGCGTTGTCATTGAACACGGTTCGTTCTTGACAAGCTCCAAGGCTTTCATGAAACGCATGAACCTGGGTCCAGATTCTGGCGTACTCCATTTTGCATCCTATGCCTTCGACATTTCCATGGCAGAGACGTTCGCTCCACTCACCATCGGTGCCTGTGTCTGCATTCCCAGCGAAGAGATGAGAATGAAACATCTTGCCGGTTCCATGAACTCCCTCGGTGTCACTTGGGCATTCCTAACGCCCTCGCTCGCAAATCTACAGGACCCCTCCAAATTCACCACATTGCAGACTCTGGTCTGCGGAGGCGAGACTCTTACACCCGAAACGATCAGTGCCTGGGGAGACAAGGTCGAGCTGATGAATGGCTACGGGCCAGCGGAGTGTACCATATTTGCTGTTGCAAACAGTTCTGTCTCTGCTACCAACGCTAATATCGGCTACGCCATGGACGGGAACCACACTTGGGTCGTCGATCCCAGAGACCACAACTCTCTTGTCCCTGTGGGATGTGTTGGCGAACTTCTCATCAGTGGTCCCATCGTGACCCGCGGGTACTTGAACGATAGAGAACGGACGGCGGCATCGTTCATCGAGGATCCAGCGTGGATGCACTTCTTCACCACCGACCCTGTGCGTCTATACAAGACGGGCGACTTGGTCAGATATTGTCCTGATGGATCGCTCATGTATCTAGGGCGTAAGGACCATCAGGTCAAGCTCCATGGCCAGCGCATGGAGCTCGGTGAGATCGAGGCTCGTCTTGAGTCTGACCCGCGCATTCGCCAGGTCTTGGTCAATCTACCACAATCTGGTATCTTCAAGGGTCGTTTGGTAGCTATTACTTCTCTCCAGGATCATTTACCCGCCGAATCATCCATTTCCTCGTCTGGCTTTGTCCCTATTCCCGATTCGGCCATGAATGCCGCCCGAATACGGATCTGCGCGATACAACACGATCTGGCCGCGACCCTTCCACCGTATATGATCCCGTCGGTTTGGCTCGCGGTCCAAACCATTCCACTCTTACTGTCTGGGAAACTAGACAGAAAGAGCGCAGGTAGCTGGCTTGTTGATGTAGACGCAGACTTTTGCAAGGTTACTGTCGACTTGGATCATGGTCAAAATGCGGTGGACGCGGTCATGACACCAGTTGGCCAACAGCTCAGACGTATCTGGGCGTCAATACTCAACATCCCAGAGACAGAAACTCCTATGAACCGTTCTCTCATTTCCCTCGGCGGCGACTCCATCATGGCGATTCAAATGCTTACACGCTGTCATGACCAGTCTCTTTCATTGACCTTGCAGGACATCATGAGAGCCAAGGGAATCTCTGAGTTGGCTACTATCGTCATCGCCAAAGAAGACCAAGTTCTTGACAACTACGAGGAAGATGACGATCAAGCATTCGAGTTGTCACCAATCCAACGCCTCTTCTTCAACAACAGCGCCAACACGGAACGTGGAGATCGCTTCAACCAGAGCCAACTCTTGTCCATCAGCCGGCCTGTCGAGATGTCCAGCCTCCAGGAGGCTCTTGATGCTCTTGTTGAAAGACATCCGATGCTTCGCGCGCGGTTCAACAAATCTTCTACTGGGGAGTGGACACAGCATATCGTCTCACATGCCCAAGGTTCCTATGGCTTCCAACACCATGAGATTGCTGCAGAGCCGGACATGATACCATTCGTAGCCGCCAGCCAAGGCAGCATTGATGTTTCTGGTCCTGTCTTTGCGGTCGATCTATTCACACTATCTCATGGCGCTCAGGTACTGTCACTTGTAGCCCATCACCTCGTCATTGACATCATTTCTTGGATTAACATCATCCACGACCTCGAGGCACTACTGACCTCTACCTTCTCACCACCCACCAAGCCCCTCTCGTTCCGCAGATGGAATGCTTTACAGATCGATCATATCAACTCCCTCAGCAATGGTGCAGCACTTCTTCCATTTGCTGTACGACCTGCCGACTTGGATTTCTGGGGCATGTCAAACACCCCCAACGTCTACGGAGACATGAAACAAAAGTCGTTCGTCATCACAGAACCTGATGTCGTCTCCTCCATACTTGGTGACTCGCACAGAGCCCTCAAGACCGAACCACTCGATCTGTTCATCACAGCCATCCTCAAGTCTTTTGCAGAGTCCTTCGACAGCCGGGAGTTGCCAACACTGTTCAACGAGGGTCATGGCCGTGAACCTTGGGATCAAAGCATTGACGCTTCTCAAACCGTCGGATGGTTCACCTCACTCTGCCCTCTGCAAGTATCTCGACAGAGTCTCGACCACGGCGATGAAGTCGACCATGTTCGTAAGGTCAAGGATGTCCGCCGGAGTATTCCCAATAATGGCCGCCCATACTTTGCCCACCGTCATCTCACCGGCCCAGGAACGCTTGATGATGGACCCATGGAGATTTTGCTGAACTACCTTGGTCACACTCAACAAACAAACCACAGCGATTCTCTCTTCACTGCAGTTGACTTTCCATTCACGGAGCAAGACACTCTGGCTATCTCCGATGTCGCGCCTGAGACCTCTCGCCTCGCTCTCTTCGAGATTTCTATATCCGTCCTTGACGAAGGCATCGGGTTTACATTGATGTATAACCGACATATGCTTCACCAAGACGGTATCGAGAAGTGGTTATCCAATTGCCAGGACAGCCTCATCAACACTACGAGAAGGCTTGCCGAGACCTCTTCTGCTCCAACACTCAGCGACTTCCCTCTCTTGCCCATTAGCTACACAGATCTCCACGAGATTATGACCACGCATCTTCCCAGGGCTCACGTCTCGCTCGACATGCTAGAGGACATGTATCCATGTTCGCCCATGCAGACTGGCATTTTGCTCAGCCAGCTTCTAGACCCATCGCAGTATCTGTTCCACGTTGTTCTTCAAGTTAATCTTCCCGACGGCTCTGCAATCGACACTGCAAAGCTCGTCCAGGCTTGTCACAGAGTCATTGAGCGACATCCAGCATTGAGAACTGTCTTCATTGATACCTTGCGTCAAGGTGGATCCTTCGATCAGGTCGTTTTGCGGCCTTTTGAGTCTCGCATTAGCACTATCAAGTGTCGGGAGATCGACGTCATGGCCGAGCTGAACTCTAGATCACTCGGTGAGACCAACAAGACACATGATGGACCTATGCTCCCGTATCAGATCACCATCTGCGAAACACCACAAGGCAAGGTTTTCATGAAACTTGAGCTGAACCACGCAGTGACCGACGGTGCCTCTACATCAATCCTCCTCCGAGACATCTCCAACGCCTACACCGACAGCTTGTCTCCAACTCCACCTCCTTCGTACAAGGAGTACATCAAATACATTTCCAACCAATCCACCACCTCAAGCCTCAACTTCTGGACAGGTTATCTCTGGGAGTCACAACATACAGCGTTTCCGACACTCAACCCAGACTTGATGGCTAACCGCCAACTACAGTGTGTCATGGTCCAGTTCGACCGTTTCTCAGAGCTACAAACTCTTGGATCCAAACTCGGGGTGACATTCTCAAACATCATCATGGCGGCATGGGCCTTGCTCCTTGGAGCTTATACAGACCGCCAAGACGTCTGCTTTGGCTATCTAGCCTCAGGACGCGATGCCCGGATCGATGGCGTCGATGAAATTGTCGGTCCTCTCATCAACATGCTCGTGTTCCGCTTCCAGTTCACGACTGAGACGCTTCTCAAGACACTCTTCTCCACCGCCCGAGATGATTATATGGCCAGTCTGCCACATCAACACTTCTCTCTGGCTCGTGTGAGCCATACCCTGGGCCAATCGAAGCGGGGCTTCTTCAACACAGCTGTGTCCATCCAGAACGCCGGTGTAACAAGTGTCTCCGAGCCCAACTCGCTTACCTACGAATCAATCGATGCCTACGACCCAAGCGAATACGCCGTCACTCTCAACGCCAATGCGACACGAGGTGACGAAGGCATCGTCTTCCGCTACTGGACCAACATACTTTCCAGCTCACAGGCCCAGGAGCTTGCCGTGAACATGTCTAAGCTACTTGACGACTTCATCGATCACAGCGAGAGCACTCTGGTTCATCTTCGACTGTTACAGAGCCCCCCAGTGACTCGCAGTACATACGCGCAATCATCTGAGGTTGACGGCTCGACGTCCGAGCGTGACGACACGAGCCATCTGCCCAAAGCACAAAGCTCAGGAATCAGTGCATCCTCCACTTTGATTGACCTTGGCGACGTATCCTCCATGTCATCCAACATGTTCAACTCATTCTCCCGCGATACGAAGCATCTACACAACAAACTATCCGCACTATGGAGAGACAGTCTCGAGTATCAAGGTTGTGCAATCTCACCCACCGACAATTTCTTCGAATCAGGCGGTGACTCAATTATCGCCATGTCCATGGTGGGCAACGCCAGAGACTTGGACTTGCCGCTCACTGTGGCTGATATCTTCAAGAATCCCGAGTTCGGTTCCTTGTTGGATTGCCTCAATGACAAGTCTTACAAGTATAGTGACAGGGCTTCCAGCCATGACCACCTGGATACCTCGACCTTCAAGAAGGAGAAATACATCCCCAGTGACGACACTTACAAGCCTCTCTCCATGATTGACGCAGATGATGTCGAACAATTCGTGCGAAGCCACGTCTGTCCCGTTGTTGGCGTGTCCCGAGCCAGCATTATCGACGTTCTCCCCACTACCGACTTTCAGGACCAGGCCATTCACGGAGGCCTTCTGGAGTCGCGATGGCAACTCAACTGTTTCCACTTGGACTCTTCAGGCTCACTTGACATGGCGCTACTACAAGAGGGTATCACCAACATCGTTGCCGCTTACGATATCTTGCGCACTGTCTTTGTCTCTCATCAAGGCCGTTACTTGCAGGTGATCCTCCGCCATGTTCAACCCACTGTCATCGTTGAAGATGTGGATAGTATCGATATATTTACTTCAAACCTTGAATTGACCCATCAGAACGACGTTTCGCGTGCTGAGGACTCATCCCTCCGCTTCATAGTAGCACGCCACAAGTCATCGGAACGGCATCGAATCTTCATCCGGATATCTCACGCGCTGTATGACGGCGTATGCTTCCCGACTATCCTACAAAGTCTGAAAGCCTCATTTGATGGAGAGCCTATCAGCCCGACACCCTCATACGCAGCCTACATCCAAAAGGTGTTGGGCACGAACAAACAAGGGTGCTACTCGTATTGGAGATCGCTTCTGAAAGATTCAACTCCTACCAATGTCGTCCAACGGCAGCGCTCATCCTTACAGACATTCTCTACCCATGTCTTGAGGAGGGTCGTGTCTACATCCTCTCTCGCGTCATTCAGCATCACAACCTCAACTGTCATCAAGGCTGCCTGGTCAACGGTATTGGCAAACTTCACAGGGAAGACGGACGTTGTTTTCGGCAACATTATTAGCGGGCGGAATGACAGCAACATAGCTGGGATACAGAGCATTGTCGGGCCTTGTTTAAACGTAGTGCCCGTACGCGTTCGACGCCAAGCCTCTTGGACCATTCTGGATCTTCTTCAATACATTCAAGACCAGCAGGTGGACAATATGCCATATGAGACACTGGGATTTAAAGAGATCATCAACAAGTGCACTGACTGGGATGATGATGGAACCAACGGTTTCTCTACTGTTGTTCAGCATCAGAGCATGCCGCGTACAGAGAGTTTTGCGATGGGGGGAAACATGTATCAGGTTGGTGTGATGGGCTCGCAGGAAGACTGCGCTGATGTGAGCGTCGTGACGACGCCTCTGGATACCAACAGCACTGAGATCTGCTTGGTTTACAACGGGAACGGAGCTATAAGCAAGGAGTTGACGGACGAGATGTTTGAAAGTCTCTGTGACAGGGTTTCAGCATTCTCGCAGGATCCTTATGCTTTACTATAGTGATGCGGGCTATTATAAGTTATCGGATCGGGGCGCCAGTTAATTTCTTTGGTATATAGTTTTTTGATACTAAGTATACTGTGTTTACCATGCCTGATTTGAACCCAGTTTCAAGGCAGTGAATTTCTTATGGGCATAAACAAACCCGAATGTAACAATTAGACTTATCACCAACCGAGAAAATGCAACAGAAGACCAGAGCAGTCGACGTCTAGGAAATAAGCGTAATGTTGGCCAAGAGTACTGGCCGAGGGCACCAGAAAGGGCCATGTACAGACTGCAAGCGCCTATTGAGTTTTTTTCCCTAAGGTTGTCATGTACTGATGGCGCAACTCAATTACCTCAACTTCGCTCCCGTCGAAACCATGCAATCTTCTACAGGAAGTAGAGCATTTGAAAACGAAACTCTTTGGTTCAACGAAACTCGTAAAGACTTGAACATTCCAGATGCCATCGCTCTAGTTGCTCATTTGACTTTGCTAACCCTATGGTTGACGAAGCCCCTGTCGTAGACTACCTTGCTTATTCACGACAGAAATTCGGTGAAATCCTTGTACAAAATGTGTCGTGCTTTCGCGTCCCAACTGTGGTGATAATAATTTCAGAATCTAGACTTATTTAAAGTTTAAAATATCGTACAATGGCAAACGCAGTAGTGAAGTTAAATTGCACTAGGTTGAACGCTAAGAATTTCAGTGCTACAGCACTTATGCATAATCCCTGAATATTGCCTATAGTGGCACAGCCACGTTGGGGATTCCTCTTTGGAAGAGAGTATCAACGATAAGACTAAGAACAGTCTAGAACTACTAAAAGCTCCAGGTGTGAACTAATAGTATTTCTCTGCATTAATAGCTACCCTTATCTCGCGAAACTGTTGTAGAATAAGTGGTCTAAATCAGAAAACATTATTATTATCGGGAAATTGAAAGGGATATGTAAATTTGGACTGGTCTTTATTGCTCGCGGGTGGTTGAATCCTAAGCTAGCAGTAAGTAGCGCTCCAGATAAGCGAGCACAAGCTCTCGGTCACAAGGCCAAGATACCGTCTCCCAGCTGCACAGGCCTTTTGCCGAAGCGCGCCACATTTTTCAGCTTGAGAAGACACCAATAGCATCGCACGCTCGGGCCGCTATGGTAGCATTCAGGGACTCGAGGATGTGCTTGCTACTGAGACAACCTTGCTTCTTTGATGCCGAGATTCCGTCGCGCCTGGTCTTGCGCAGTCATCTTATATAGCTATCTTCGCCAGAACTTTATAAGGGAACAAGAAATACAGGCACACTCAACATTACGCATCAAGAACTACCAGCGACCGTTACCATGATGCTGTTAACATTCCTCCTCATTCAAGCCTGCGGCCTTGTGTCTGCCCAAGTTGTCTCTCCCTACCCGGTATCAGACTGTGGCGGTGGCATAGCAGGCACGGAGCTTCAATGCCCCGATCAGCCCGGCTGCTGCTCGGGTGGTGCAATGTGCTGCGCCGGCGGCTGTTGTCCACTATCTGCCATTTGCGTCAATAGTGGCACATCTAATGAGCAGTGCTGCGACCTCTCGGATAAGTCTCTCTGTGGAGCAGCTGTTACTGACTCGGTAAGATTCCTATCTCCTGATCCGGGTATTCTACATACCCAATGAGTCTTTTTGTCTGCACAAGGACTGATATCTATTACTTTCAGTCTCCTGCGTGCCCAACTGCCCCCGGCATCCATCCGTCAAAGCTTTGCGTCGGGGTTGACAGTGACTGGTACTGTCCTTGGGATGCTGTATGCAACAACGCAGGCGGAGGCTGCATCGGTGGAAGAGCCAAAAGGGACAATTGCAATGGACAGGCAACAGAGACGGCAGTGGAAACTGCAGAAGAGACTGCAGCAGAGACAGAGTCGGACTCTTTCACGGATGACTTCGCAACCACTACGGAATCCTCAGCTCTTAGTACTGCGGTAGATACGTCGGCCTCTCATTCAGAGACCAAGAGCTCACTTGCTGTGTCTCTCTATAATTTGCCAACCGTAGTACTTACTGTCGCTTTTATCTTTGCAGCATATTAGTTAGACTGAATAATACTTCACAGAATTTAATTGATTCTCTTTGTCTCAGTCTATAATCACGATGCATATAACTCAGTTTGAACAGAGTCCGTCGCCTATTTTATCAGTCAGTACTGAGCAACCGCAGGACGCCAAAAATCCGTCAACCAGAATTTAAAGTCACCCTATAGTGTTGTATTATGTGACTGATATATCCTTCATTGGGCAGAGATCTCTGCCAAATCGATTTCTACAATTGACAGTCGGCTGATGCCTACATCTCCCTGTAGTATCCTAGAAACAGTCTGCAGCAGAATCTCAACACTTGCTTGTGTGTCCTAGAGGGTTCGCGAACGAGCGTCCTGCTGATAGCACCAAGAGATACAAGACTACTAAGGCTTCTTCTTTTTCTGCATTATAAATCTAACTTAATCTGTATTTCCGAGATTAAACATTTTATCATTACCTATATGGCCTGTAATTAATTAGAACAGCATTGCAGACTTATGACGACATATCTACCTAGCCTGTCTAGCCTGATAGAAAAGCGGAATCTTTTCCCCGCCCTTTGATGCTGAAGCAAGTGAGCTCACTTCCCCGCGTTTTACTCCCTTCTCTTCTTTTCAACCACGTTGCAAACGATAACTATTTAAAATCTCTAAGCAGGCTAAGCGTATCAAAATATAAGGTAAATTCATTCACAGCCCATAAGGAGTCTCCAGTGCAATAAGGTTGACATGAGCTAGAACAACATTCGTCACCATGCCTCACTTTAGCTTCTTAGGAGAGACCTCGACTTCAGCCGACACTATCATTCAGATGTTGAATGAAGATGACCAGATTCAGCAAGACGAAATGACAAAGAACTGGCGTGACCATAAGTTGCAGGAACTGAATTTTGTCGGGACACTTGTACAGGGCTTCTAAATACCTCTCTCTGATGCCCACTCGCTGAATCTTTGAACAGGGCGCTCTTCTCGCAAGTTGTCTTAGCACAACAGGTTCATGGCCAGATGTCCTCCCCAATGGGCGTAACAAGCCCTGGTCCGTGCGAACGATGTGGTTCAGCGGCCTCGTGTTTGCCCTCTTCTCAGTAGTCATTGCAGGCGTCCAGAGCATGAGACTGCACCGCCTGTCTGCTCATCCCGACGGCCTCAGCTTGATCCGAAACAGCCTTGGTCGCAAACGACAATCCGATAACAAGTCTCGACCTAGCTGGCTGCAGGTATACGCCTGGGAGTTCAGCCTTGCGTTCTTGGTATTGGCCATATTTTGCATGGTAATAGGCTTGACAATTCTGCTTTGGGCTGGCACTGAGTTTGGGCCTTCGAAGTCTAGAGAAGATGGCTGGTGGGATGGTAACTCCAAGGTAAGTAGTATTCTCTATGTCACTGTATTTCACTAACACTGTCGCGTTTTAGATGGCGGTGACCTTTACAATCGTCCTCGGATTCGCGTCTTTAATCCTGGTCCTATCACAGTCTGCCCTGTCAAAAGGTAATGCGATTAGGCTATAAGAATTAAGTTCTGGCGGTCTCTCAGTTATAGGGATTGTCGGGGGGAACTCATGAAGATTGAAGGGAGAGCCATTCGACAGACTGGTACGAAGGCTGCTGGCTATTGTATTAGAATAGCGAACTTCGGGCGCGTAGATCACATAAGATGTCTTTCAATTGGCTGCGAGCAGTAGTAAGGATAATGAAATTCTCGTCCTATTGCTTCTCTTTAAGTAAAATATATTATAATTACAATTATGAAAAAGTAGTTTGGACTTGCAGGCTAAAAATGGCTCAATTGCTTGACACAAGGAAATTCAGCCATGATTCTAAATGAGCAATGACATAAGCAGCTCCAGACTCTTCAACCGATGTTGGATCCTCAAAAACACTCCTCATATCCTCTCCGACATGGCGAAGTTTGTCTGCTACGCCGTTCATCTCTTCCAAAATATCCGTCGCCTCCTCACCATGATACTCAATGCTGGCCAGTATATGTAAAAACATTGCTAGCGCTGCATCATACTCTGTCGTACTACGCAATTCCCCGAAGCAGGGTATGCGAAAGAAATGCGATATTGCGCTCGATTCCGGCGGGATAAAGTAGGTATTGACCAGCGAAGTCAGTGATATAGACGTTCGTTGCTTTGGGAGAGCTATGACGAATTTGCCATGATGGCCGTGGCTAGAGGATGGAGATTCTTGTACGATTTCTTGCAACATCGCGTAGGCGTATTTTATCCCAAAATTCGTCCGCAGACGCAAGTCTTGTTTTATGAAATGACATAGAAGCCGCTTCCAAACCAGATTTCGGATAGCCTCTGGTTCAACAACATTCATCGATGTCGCTAGCTGAACTAGGACAACGAACCCCTCAACCGGCTGCGATAGAACTGCCTTGAGATAGAATTTGTTTCCTAGACATGCAAAGAAGGCGACCTGTTGTGGCGGAACCATATTGTCCACTGCTGATGGAAGACTAGTGACGAGCTTTGGGCTGGAGCTTTGGGGTACGTGGATCCCTGGGAGTCGGGAGAGTTCGTCTCTGCACCACTTGAGACTCTTCGAGCGTGTCAGACTGGGGACGTTTTCAATTTCAGCGCAGATGGTAGCGAGGAAGACGGACAAGACAGTACTATCGTGGAAGCGGTGTCTGAAGACCTCTGCGAGTGTCTGCCTCCACAGCCTTCGATTCTGCTTGTCTTGGAGCGATACAAGTGGCAGTGCCGCGGCGATTCGATGGCTCGTTTCAAGAGGATTGGCTTGCTTGTTCGTTCTCAGGAGAAGGAGTGCGCAGCCATCGCAGCATGTAAGTGGAAGAAGGATGTCGACCTCCGGGCAGTTGCCCAGCGCCAAGGGACATTTCAGCTGGAGCCTTTCGTTGGGCAATGGAAGGTGTGGAGTTTTGTTGTCCTTTGGGCTCGTTCGCAGCAGCAATGTTTGGATCGAATTCGGCTCTCGACATATCGAACAGGTAGCGTATGCCCTTGACCGTGCAGCCTTTTCAAGCTTCCGGGTGCCCTTGAAGCCAGAGAGAAAGAGTGACTTGTCGACATCTTGTTTATCCAACTTCTTTGATAGAACTGAAGCCGGAAGCTTCTCATTGTCTTTCGCAGTCTTTAATCCACTCGCGGGGTACCAAAAGGTGTTAGCTGTGGCGAGACTTGGATCATTTGGCGAAGGGTCATCTAGTATCCCTATCGCGGACTGGACCTCTTGTAACCCTTTGGTAACACGCCCAAGTGCTGCCCGTTCTATCTCCACCTTGGCTTCGAAGTTGGCCCAATTTCTCTTGTTCTGAAGCCTGACTGACGCGCGATGAAAGTCCAAATGGCTTGTTCCATGTACATGCGTGGATCTGGAACAGCGAGGAGGTGCGACAGATGTCAAACAAGACCAAATGTCTTTGTGGCGAGTATTTGGTGCTTCCAGCTCTTGCTCAGCTGCCATCAACAAGAATCCCATGGCTGTTATCCCTCGGGAGTCGACATCGTCTCTCTCTATGGTAAAGCTCTCCGTTGTCGTTGTTCTGCGGAGGCTCTCAATCCACAGCTTCACCAAGAATCCTTCTCCTCTTGTTCTGGCAACTACCATTATCGCATCGAGGGCAGAGTTGTTTGATACCAGTTGAAGTTTATCCTGGTCGGACATGGAGTCGTTATAGATGGACTTCATATCAAACACTCTGCCGTAGGGCAGGGCCACTTCGTCTTTGGAGAGTCGGATTGACTGGGGAGCACGGACCCTTAGCAGCCTATCGTAGGAAGTCTGAGGGAAGTCCGTCCATTTTGTTCCACTGAACCACTTGAAATAAGACCCTTTCGGGAGCAAACTAGCGAAGCATCCTTTGGCTTGGACGATGAATGGCTCGTTGCTCCATACGTCGTGGAAAAGAACCGCACAGTGTGGCGACGGTGCACAGATAGACATGCCAATTGAGAGTTTGCTTCGAGAAGGAGGACGAGACCTGTTTCCAAAGACAATTATGACGGATGGAGTGCCGTGTAATCCCGCTTCGACAAGCTTATTCGTAAAAGCATTGGCACGCTCCTCCTCAATCACACCATCCGTCATGAGAAACCATATTTTTGACTGTTCAAGGCATTTTCGACCAAGATGATTATCGAAAATGCTCGATGGGTTTGATCCAACACTATGTTGGAGATTTCCAATCAGATTTGCGGGTACTGGATCGTGAGCTTGACGATCCCAAGGTAAGATATGAGACTGGTCTGCCAACTCTTTGGGCTCGAGCTTCGAGGCTATATATGAGATCGTGTTCTTTTCTCGCTGGAAGATTTTCTCGCTTGTACTAGATACTTCCACGGCGAATACAAGTGGAAGCTTCTGAAGCTGCGTTGAGGTATGGACAGAGGTAGGTCGCGGTAATCTGTCGTCCGATTCCCTTGTAAGAGCATACCCCGCCGTGGGAGGGTCTCGTGGGTGACTAGGCGAGGATGCAAAGGACGCTTCTGAAGCACGCTCGGGACCGTCTATTCGGTCTGGACGATGCGAAGTGGTTACATCGAAGCTTACAGCCGGATGTGCACACTCTTTCCCTGTTTGGTAGCACTCTAATAACTGTTCTAAGTTCGTGGCATCGCCATCGAGAAATTCTAGTGACACTGGATTGTCCTTTAGAAGTTGGTGATGCACTGGAAGGCTTGTACTTACTGTCAACTTGGCTTTGCTGCAAAGACTCCAGAGAAAGATCGTTACGATTGCTAGAAAGAAGCATAGCGGCATCCAGTCAACAACGGGAGGCGATTGATCTTGGAGAGCGTATCGAAAGCTTTGGTGCTCACCCGCCGAATATCTAGTAATCCTGATCCGTCCCCTTTGCGAAATTGAGGAACAATGAAAAGTGTAGCCTGCAGGAAGCCTTGCCGGCTCTATTCGGGCCAGTTTCACGACAGGGATAATAGAAATTGTTCACACCGTCACTCGCAGGTTCCTTCAAGTTTCAGCTTGAGACAAACATTGGATACAGAACCTCATTTTACAGTATTGCCACAGTGAATGGAG